TCCCACGCACCTTTCCCAGTGGTCTGGTGCTGAGGCAAGCACAGATGTGGGCATCATTCTTGCCTCTAGCAGGAATTGTGTAGTTAATGATGCTTTGGCTCTTTTTTTTTTTTTGAAAATTTATTTTAGCTTTTGTTGAGTAAGGTCTTGCTGTATCTCCTCAGACTGGCTTTGAATTCACGGTCTTCTTGCCCCAGCCTCTTGAGTGTTGGGGTTGCAGACACAAGACACCTGGCAGGTGTGCTTTGGGTTTTGTACATGCAGAAATGGAGATGTTAGTGACAGCAGTTGTGATAAGTGAAATACCTACATTTTCCTAAATCTTTCATAAACATATTTAGGCAAGATGAAAGAGTATGTAGTCTTTGTCTCTGTGGCATGAGCATTTGACCTCATTAGCTTCGGTCTCTGAGCTGTTTGCTTCCTTATCCAGCAGGTGGCTCCTGAGAGCCGGGCCTGCTGTGGAATGGAGTGAGGGGCACTGGTGGGATGTTCTCCCACCATCAGCTCTGTGCCTACTTTTCCATTGCTGCAGTTTGTTCTTTGTAGCTTTTTGTTATTCAGGATCTGACCAAAGATGATATTTAATTGTCATTTCTTTTGTTTTACTCTGCAGCTGTTTTCCAAGCTCTTTTATTTTTGTCTTTCATGGCATTGGTCTTTCAAAAATCCGAGGCATGTTTTACAGATATTCTTTTTATGTTTTAAAGATTTAAATTTTTATTAACTCTCTCTCTCTCTCTCTCTCTCTCTCTCTCTCTGTGTGTATGTGTGTGTATGTGTATGTCATGGTGTGCATGTGTAGATCAGAGGGCAACTTGAGGAAAATCATGTGTTTCATATGCTTCGATCCAGATTTTTCTGAAGTTGTTTGGTAAAGTTGTATGCTTGCCAGTGTATCGCTTTGGGAAGCACATGACATTTTTTTTGTATTACTAGTGACAGTGAGTTTGGTCATTTGTTTAAGATAATGTTCATCATATTGCTTCTTTGTGAAGGGTGTCTCCCCTGCTTTTTTATAAATACTCTCTCGAGTGATACTTTGAGATGTATGAGCATCTAATAGTCTCTTTCCTCTATCTATTGATGCTTGTCTGACTCACTACTCTTAGTGAGTTTTGTAAACTGGAATTTTCCATGACTTTGTCTACATTTTTTGTTGGTGTGTGTGTGTGTGTGTGTGTGTGTGTGTGTATGTGTGTGTGTGTGTGTGTGTGTGTGTGTGTCTTGTCTGTCTGTCTGTCTCTGTGTGTCTTTGCAGAGGCCAGAGGAAGACTTTAGGTGTCTACCTCTATACCTTCACAGCCTCTTGCTGAACCTCAAGCTGGTTGTTTGTCTGTCCTGGCTGGTCAGTGATCTCTGGAATCCATTTGTCCCTACCTCCCAATTCTGGATTAAGCATTTTGTTTTGAAGCTGGGTTAGTGTAGACTGACCTCGAACTTGATATGTAGCTGAGGGTGACCTTGAGCTTCTGATCCTACTCCTATCCTCTGAGTGTGGGATTATAAATGCTCGCACCATGCCTGGCTTTTGCAGTGCTGAGGATCTGTTCAGGGCTTTGTGCTTGCTTGCATTCTACCAACTGAGACCTCCAACCCCAGTTCTATCCACATTTATGAGCTGGGTTTTCTGTAACAGCTTTTCTATGTGTAGTGGGCAGGATAATAGCCCCCCATGACCTGTGACTGATGAATTCAAAGGGGGGATAGCTTATAGATGGAATTAAAGTTCCTGGTCCCCCCAAAAGGTAAGGAGGTAATTCAGGAGTTCCTTGGAGGGTAGAAGAGGAGTGACTGACAGGCTGTGGGAAGGACTAGGCACGCTGCTGGGGGCTCAGGAGGGAAAAGGACAGCTGCAAGCCAAGGAGTGGAGTCCCTAGACATGACTCGTCAAGGAGGGTTCTGTGGAGGACTCCTTTACCTTGAGTGCGGTCCTTTCTCACACACGCAAGGGACCTGCAGGATTCTTTAGAACATTTTACTGACAAATGTATTGCCAGCTTGGACTGAAGGAGACAGCATAAGGAGGAATTGAGAGCTGTGAGACCACCCTATTCCACAGGCAGGAGACAAGACGGCAGAACTGCTCCCGGGCAGACAAGTGCTGGCTTGAGAAGGGCTACTCCAGAGGTGGAGCCTCATGTGAAACCCAGAGCCCCTTCCCAGACCTGGAAACAAGTGGGAGTCTAATCCATGCTGTGATTCCTTTTTCCTCATTAAATTGTCTCCAAATCTGAAGCAGCCTCCGTGTAGCTGGAGCTCTAGTTATTGTATTTGGGAAGCAAGTAGTTTGCTGTAGGTTCACTGATGGAGAGCAGTTTTGCCCCAGCGTGAACCTTACTGATTTAGATGATGAGATTTGAGGATTTTGAGCTGATACATTTGGATGAGACTTTTAGACGTTGGGTTGAGTTAACGGTGATGTAGGGGTGGGTTGAGTTTGTTTTGCATGTGAGAGAAGTGTGACTCTTAGGGGAGGAGAGGCTGGGTTATGACTGGTCCCCTAATGTGTCTGTGTCTTAATCTCTGGAACCTGTGAATATTAACCTTTATGGTAAAGGAGAATTAAAGCTGCTAATTGGTTGACCTTTAAGTGAGAAGATTACCCTGGATTAGCCCAGACTGTCCAGTTTAATGCAGCCAAAGGGATCCTTAACATGGAAGGAGGAGCCAGCAGGGCCAGAGTTATACAAGGTGAAAAAAGACTAGACCTGCCTTTGTTGCCTTTGAAAGTGAAAGAAAGGGCGCATAAACCACAAAGCAATGAGTGGAGGTGGCCATTGGAAACTGAAAAGTGAAAGACCCAGATCCCCCTGGGAGCCACGGAAGGGAGCACAGCCTGATTGTCACAGCCCTGCTTTAGACTTGTGGGGCCTGTGTTACCGTAAGCTGCAGAGTGTGTTTGTTACAGCAGCAGAAGCAAACCAGCATACCGCCTCAGTGTCTCGTGTGTGCGTGGGATTTACGGTTCCTTTTGTAATTGTATTACCATCGATCTGTTGCATCATTATTTTTATGTTAGATTGTCTCAAACTTGTCCCTTAAGAGCCCACTCAAGCTCTTTGTGACATGCTTCTGACCAGTTTCAATCTTTTCTGTCTTTTGGGTCTAGCAGGATGGTCTGTCCCCCCAGCTTGCAGTCTGCAGCTCTCTACAGCACATTCTGTTCTACTCGGAGACAAATGCCCAGGCTTCTGCCCTTTTTCTTACAGATTTTGTGAAGACAACGTAATGGTGGGGGCTGCTGGGAAAAGCTTGTGGTTGGGCTTTAGGAGAAAGTCTGGCTTGTCCACGCCCATCTTTATGGTTCAGCTTTGTATAGAGTGCATACCAAGATTTGTAGTAGGTCACTTAATGTGTCTGTGGGAGCGGCAGGGATTTACGAAGCTTTCCATAGAAATTTGAACATCGTGTTAGGTATTTTTACTGTTCTCATTCAGGATTGTTTAGGATACAGTCCTTTAAAAGCACTGATCTGGACCCAGGTGTTCAGGCTTGTGCCTGTAATCTCAACACTTGGAGGACTGAAGTAGGGTCATTAATTCACTGTAGCCAGGGCTGGAGTAAACTTTGTCTCAAAAGCACAATAGCAAGAAAAATGTCTGTAGAATCCTTGGCTAACGTTCTCAGTTTGTAGGGGCATATAGAAAGATTTAGTGTCATAGCTCAGAGTAGATGCTCACGTGATTACAGATCTTCCTCTCAGGCTCAAGGCACAGGTTCTGTCTCCAGGGGCCAGTAGGAAATATACTCCGTGTACAAGGGCAGGAGGCTGGTGCCAAGCGGGGCTGGTAGTATGGGCCTGTCTCAAAGGGGGCAGTTGGAGGTCCCTGCTAGCCTCTTCCTATCAGAGAGACCTCTAGTCTAAGATGTTCTGTCAGTCAGCATTTGAGGACATAGAGAGCTATTTGGAGCAGGGGTGCTTAGCCTTGTAAGTACAACGGACCTACTCAGTCTGGAAAAGTCTAAAGATTTTTAAGGTGGAGAAGTAGACAAATGGTTAGAAAGGAAATGAATTGTATTGAAATATAGTAATTAAAATATTAAAAAGACAAACAGCTGGATGTGGTAGTACATGCCTCTAATTCTTGAATGCAGGAGTGCATGTTTGAGGCCAGTATGGGCTACACAGCAAGTATTAGGCTAGCATAGGCTGCTAGTATAGCCATGTGTCAAGAAGCTAAAAAATAAAAATGTAACCACCCCCAGATTCTAGACATATGCAGTTTTTATTAGTGCACTAGTTTGTTAGCTACCGTAACTTGTAAGTACTGTGGACTTGTAACAACTCTGAGTAAACCCAATGCCTAGCCTCTCTTGGTGGCAGGGACACAGCACTGCTTTTGTTGCCTGCATCCCTCATTGAAAGCTTTGTGGTTTTTCATTGTTGTTGTTTTGGTTGTTTGAGACAGGGTTTCTTTGTGTAGCCCTGGCTGTTCTGGAATTCACTGTATAGACCAGGCTGGCCTTAAACTCAAAGAGATCTGCCTGCCTCTGCCTCCCAAGTACTGGGATTAAAAGTGTGCACCCCCTCCAAGCATTGTTAAATTTCATCTGGAAATTGGTGAAAAAAAAAAGATGATGTAGGTTTCACTCCCCTTTCTGTATTGAGCAAACTCTATCATGTCTTAGCTTAAAAACTCTTGGTCTCTGGCTGGCAAGATGGCTCAGAGTATGGAGTGCTTGTCCTTCAAGTTCGAGGACCTGAGTTCCATCCCTGGAGCCCAAGGAAAGGAGGAGGGAGGGAACCATCTGCACAGAGTTGTCCTGTGTCCTCCACACACATCCTAGTATGCACACATCCCCCCATCACAATCCAATACTAAAAATATGTTTAAAGGAAGCTTTGGCTCTAAGTATCCTTAACTGATTCATAGTCGCTTTAAGGACAACAGTATACTATCACTGAATACATTAATCACGTTTCCATGTTGCTGTTTGTTTTTGTCTTTGCAATTAAGCTTTCTGGCTACTGAACTTGATTCTGTGTTTTTGTTTAGAACGTTATCATTTGTCTTATAAGATTGTGAGAACGGACAGTCGCCTGGTGCGAAGCATTCTGACAGCCCATGGATTTCATGAAGTAAGCTCATTTTTACAACCTCACCTGATCACCTCAAAAGCTGAAATCCTAGCTACCTAACTGACTTTACCCCTCCACAGAGGCAGCACTAGGAAGCACACGGGGACCAGTGATTAGGGGCTCTGCAGAACTTGGTACTACCAGCAGTTTCTCCTTGTGGTACACGGGACAGGAACCCCCCCTCCCATTTTCTTGTGATGATCTTAGATATGGGCAGAGTTGCGCATCAGACGTCATTTGATATCTATTTGGGGTTCTTTGGTTGCAAAGAACAGAAGCAGACTTTGTAAGTGAAGCCAAGACAGAGTTGCAGAGTGCTATGAAGAGGGTGGCTCATAGAAGCTGAGGTTTCTTTAGAAGGGAAGAGGCACAACAGCCTTGGGGACTGAAGGGCAGGGCTCTCTGGGTTTATATCAACACACTGCTGTGGAACTTACTGGACTCTATTCATTTCCTTGTGCCTTTTTCTGGTGATAGAATTGTTGAGCCAGCTTAGGTCCTAGATCTCGTGGAGTGGAGGAGAGGGTGGATGGGTGATTGACAGGTGATTTAATATTCAGGAACAAATCATTCCCCCAAGAAATCTGTGGAAGTGAGATGTTGACATTGAAATGAACAGGTACAGATGCTACACAGTCCACCATTACTGAAATTCTTAGACCACCAATGAAAGTCTGGTCACTCACTAGCTGCTTATTCTAGGTTGGTACCAATTGGGCACTTGGGGATCCCATACTGTTCATGTCCTGTCTTGTTGCTTTTCTATTTCCAGCATTTGCCATTGTGTTAGTGTGTTATATGGGCAGAGTCCGTAATAATGAATGGATAAATGAATTCTAAGGAATGATGAAAGGAACTCTAAGGTTTAAAACTTTCTGAGATTTACTGTTCTAATTGCATGTCTGTGTGGGGGTATGTGCATGAAAGTGTAGGTGCCCATAGAGGCCAGAGGTGTCAGTGCCCCCTGTACCTGGGGTTATAAATAGGTAGTTATAAGCCACCCAGTGTAGATGCTGGGAATTGAGCCTAGGTCCTTTGCAAGAATAGTACATACTCTTAACCACTGAGTCATCCAGGGCTGGCTTCCCTTATGTTCTATAAGGACATACATAGGGAGGTCTGAGAAAGGAGTCTGGGGCTCACTTTTGAGGCATACTTTGAAATGTAAGTGTATTAGACATCACTGACTTGTCAGAAGGGTTAATTTATTGTTTGTGTTTGGGAACTCTGGACTCTCCTTTCTTTAACCTTGTTATTTTGTTTGCTGTGGTACTCTGCTGCAGTAATAGGCTTGTATAATAACTGGGTCATGCCAAGAGTCCACTGTAGATGAAAGACCACTGACTTTCTCTGTCATTGCTCTTCTAGAGACAGGCTGCTGTTTATGTTTGTTTGTTTTTTTTCTGTGTGTCTTTTGTGACTAGGTTCACCCGAGCAGCACTGACTATAACCTGATGTGGACAGGATCCCACCTGAAGCCCTTCTTACTTCGAACCCTCTCTGAAGCACAGAAAGTTAACCACTTCCCCAGGTAATGCTCCCCTAGGTGCTTTGTAGTGTTGAAAGGTCGCTGTCATTGGACTGCGTAGCCAGAGGAGAGATGCAGTGTTCTTGGCGTAATGGAAGAAGGAACCTGTGGAGTGCCATAGCCTGACTGGAGGCTGAGGGTTCATATCCCTGGGAGGTAGAGACTCTTCAAGGGCTATGGAGATTTGAAAGGATTTAAAGAGACAGTTTCCAATTCTCATTCCTAAAATTGAAGTTGTTCATCTCAAGTGGGTGAGGTCTCCTTTTTCACCTTTCCTTTCTTGGTCACATTTTCATTTCTATTAAAGAATGACTCAACTTCTATCTTAATATGGTATGGTGCATTTTCCTTGGTCATAAAAAGTTTCAGGGTTCCAAGCTAGGTGTGATGGCACGTGCTTGTAAATCCTTATACTTGCAACACAGAAGCAGGAGGATGAATTCATGCCCGCAAATCAAGGCCTGCTTAGACTATATAGGACCCTGTTTCAAAAAAAAAAAAAAAAAAAAAAAAAAAGAAAGAAAGAAAAAGAAAAGAAAATTAGGATCCCAAAGATACAACAAACAAATCAAGATCAGATTCTAGTGATAGCATAACACTTCCTTCTTACATGTTGATGGTTTCCAGTTGTTTGTTTTAAACAAATTTGAGAGATAGCATAGTCTGGTTGTTCGTAGCAGGTTTTTCTGTCTCTTAATAAGTCTCCCAAATAACAACATGGAGACTTGGCAATTATGAAAGCTTGACCAATAGCTTAGACTTGTTTCTGACTAGCTCTTATAGCTTAAATTATGTCTTTCAACCCACGTTCTTTCGTGTGGCTTGGTTACCTTTACTTTAATGCCCTTGCGGCTTTCTCTGCATCTCCTCCCTTCTTCCCAGTGTTCTCTCTATCCATAAATCCTGCCTAGTTATTGGCCATTCAGCTTTTTATTAAACCAACCAGAGTGACACATCTTCACAGTGTACAAAAAGATTATTTCACACTAGGTTGCCAACTCATAGACCATTAGTTTTAATGACAGATCATTTTTGTGTCTGTTTATTTTGGCACAGGGTCTCTATTAGGTAGAGTCTCATATTTAACTCTTATAGTCTGAAATTTTGAGTATATTCATAAAAAGTCAGAAGTAAACATCTTTTTAATTTATGTTCAAAATCTGTTTAAAAATGGATTTTATACTTATAAATCAGGTTAAAAAACATTGGGATAAAGATCATAGATGTAAATTTAAAACATAAACCTGTACAGAGAAAATCTTGTTGATCCTAGCTTGGACAAAGGTTTCTTAGAACAAAGCTTGGTGCATTAAAAACACAAGGGGACTTCAGCGTAGTGGAAGACTCTTAAGAAAGTGGGAAAACAAGTCACAGTCTGGAGAAGTGTTTATAAACATGTATCTGATTAAGAGTTTGTATCCAAAGTATATCACAAACTCTGATAACTTAGCAGAAAGAAAACAGTCTTAGTTTTCAAAATGGAAAAAAGATTTAGTGGATACTGTAAAGTGTGTGTGTGTGTGGATATGTCAAGGAAAATTTATGTGTGATCAGTTAATGATACTCAATGTCAGTTATTAGTGGAATACAAATTAAAATCATATGAGATACTAATCTGTACCTATTGAAGTGACTTTAAAAGTCATATAACATTACGTACGTCTGGCTGGGGTGCATGGCAACTAGCATACTAGTACATTGTTGATGGGAGTTCAAGAAGTGGATACCTGGAAACTGTGAAATATCTATTGGTTTTAATTTTTGTCTTCTAGAATGCATGGCATCACTAAAGGTCATTTGCTAATCAATTGCCTGGTGACTGGCAGGCCCTAGGTGGTTTCAGGATTCTCACAAGCTCTAGGGAAGACTAAGTCCTGGTAAGAGGGTTGGCATTTTAGTCTGCCCTTCAACCTTCAGGAAGGGGGAAGGGTTGAAGTTTTAACATGATCACCCGTGACCAGTGACTTAATCAGTCATACCTACTTAGTGATGCTTCCATTATAGCCCCAAAGGACTAGGTTTGAAGAGCTAGATAGTTGAACTCGTGAAGGTCCTGGCAGGTACAGTGCCAGGGAGAGGGCAGGCTGTTCCACGTCCCCTCCTCCACATTTCATACCATGCGCATGTCTTTATCTGTGTTCTTTGTATATGCTTTACAGTTAGCCAGTAAGTGTGTTTCTCTGAGTTCTGTAGCCCACTCAAGCAGACTCATCAAACCCAAAGGAAATGTATGGGGTAGCTGATCAGAAGCCACTTGGAACTAGGGTCAGCCTTGCGGACTGAGCCTTCATCCTGAGGGATCGCATACCACCTCCAGGTATACAGTGTCAGAACTGAATTAGAGGACACCCAGTGGTTTTTGCAGTGGCATTGCTTGCTGGTAGTGGGAAAGCCCCCAGCCCCCAAGCTGGTGTCAGGGGTGTTGAGTAATTATGTGGAACTGAGTGGAGATTAGGAGAATGCTTTGGTATTTCCTCTACATCCGAGAATATGGTAGGAGAAACTGAGCCTCTTTTTCCAGTATCCTCAGAGTAACCACTGGCAGTTCTTATGAAGTTAAACATATACTTCTGTAGTGATTGTAAAATGTGTCTGTAAATTCTCTGACCCTTCCTTCAAAAGGTTGAGCTAAATTTTTCGGTTGAGTGTCAACTAGACTTGGTGAGTAGCCGCTAACAAATGGAGTGTGGCAGAAGTGTTGTTATGCTGTTTGGGGGACTAGATCATAACAGATACTGCAACCTCTTCCCCGGATCGGTGGGCCTAGGAGAAGTCAGCTGCGTCTCATGAAAGTGTGCAGCCTGTGAAGGGTCTCACCTGAGGAACCCTAGCCTCTCATTGGCAGCCAGCTCCATACCTATGAGGAGTCTGGGAAGTGTGTGCTCCATCCTAGCTGGGCCTGATGAGGGCAGTGTAGGCACACATCTGTCATCCCACACTGCTGGCCCACAGAAACTGTGTGACATCACAAATGTGAACTACTATTTTAAGCTGCTGTATTTTGGGGTTGTTTATTATCTAGCAACAGATAACTTAGTAAACTACATAGCAAGCCCACACCTGGGAAAATGGAAATGTTTGTATAAAAATTCGATGTTTATATAATACTCTATATGTAAGTGCTTTCAAGCAACTTTATTCACAATCTTCCCTAAACTGGAAGTAATCCAGATGTCCTTCAACTGTCGACTAGATAAACAAACTCTGGTATATATATGCACACCACAACGTATAACTGAGCACATAAAAGAATAAAATGCTTGATATATGCAACCCATAGGGATAAAGCTGAGATGTTTCATGCTCAGAAGAGAGGATACATATTCCAGTATCCTGCTTATCTGTTTGGAAACAAGTAAAAACAGATGTTTTCCCTGTGTCTGGCAGTGACTGAAAGAACTGACTGCAAGGAAATTGAAGCCACTTTGGGATATTAGAATTGTCCTGTATTTTTATTGTGGTGATTACCTAACCAGTACATCAGAATTACACATGGAAAGGGAGGAGGGTGGATTTCTACATACCTTGTGTCTTTATGAACAGATCTGATCAAAAATGTCTACTTGAGGAAAATGCTAATAAGACTTTTGGAGTAGCAGCGTGATAGATTTGGGATAGTCTACTGTCTTCAGTAACTGCTTCAGAACTCAGCGCTACGAGTTCTTCACAGTGTGGCACCAGAGGAAACCTTTGTAGCTGTAATTCACTGAAATGGAAAAACTTGCTTGCTTCTTAGGTCTTATGAACTAACCCGGAAGGACCGACTGTACAAAAACATCATTCGAATGCAGCACACGCATGGATTCAAGGCTTTCCACATCCTCCCTCAGACCTTCCTCCTGCCAGCTGAGTACGCGGAGTTCTGTAGTAAGTGCTGACTGAGGGTGTCCTAGCGTCTGAGCCCGAGGCTGATTGAACTTTGACACTGCTGACCTTACAGCTAATTGGAACTTTCCAAACCTTTGACAAATTATGCTTAATTGGGAAGAGCAGTTATAGGCATAAATTTTAAATTATTTATATTTAGATGGTGCTCTTCTATGTTTAATTTTGGTAGGATGACAGTAATAATTTATGTAAGGACACATTGTTGTCATATAAGCACATCCTGTCTTGAGTATTTTTGCCCAGTTATCTCTGCATTGTTGAGAGTCAGTATGTGTGGAGGGCATTTTGTCCCTGTGAATGTGAACTACATGTTTTCTTTTTGGTGTCTTTTTTTCACTTCTCACTCTAATGTTCTTCCTGCCTGGACTTGTGGACTTAAATTCTTTGCAGAGCAAGTATCTTGTCTTTTTAATGTTTGTCCTTGTTTATTTGTCTTTTAGTTTCAGCTGGCCTAGAATTTGCTATATATGTAGACTGGGCTGGCCTCGAACTCACAGAATTCCATTTACCTGCTTCTGCCTCCCGAGTGCCAAGACTAAAGTTTGCCACCATGACCAGCATCATGTCTTCTGTTGTTAAGCATTTGGTGGTATCAGTCACACTTTTTTCTTCTGAGTTCATACTAATAAGAAATACACATAGGCATCTAATGGGGACCTGAATGTCAGCTGAATTGCTGGTAAGGTAACAGGAACATGTGGCCTGGATCTAGGTCTATAATGGGATTCTTATTTCTTTGTCCTCATTGAATGCACCTTCCCAGGCCTGGCTGAGAAGCTGGGTTGTTTCCAGCTCTTCCCCTCACACCAGAGCCTGGTACAGTAGGTGTGATGTAAGAAAGAGTCGAGAACACAGGGCAGATAGGCAGGTGTGAATGGCGACCATGGTCATAGGCTTATGGTGAATGACATGTAAGGGTTCCAGATACGAATCTCTCCTAATACTAATCCTATTCTCTATTGAAGTTTGAAGGAATCAAACTTGAATTTCTTAGTTCATTGTTGCTTCTTATTCCCCTGTGGTCCTCCAGCCCTGGGGGCAGTGGGTAGGGGGCAGGGGGTCGGAGGAGGGTTGGGCTCTTGATAAATGGTGGCACAGGGTGAGATTTCCACTGTCAGCTCCTGCCTAGCTTGTTGAAGTGGAGTTGCATCTTTAGCCCGGCATTCTGATTCTTAGGAGATCTACTTTAACAAAGAGAGCTTGAAAGACACATAGCCTCTTGACCAAGGCCACCACACTTAGACCTAGCACATGGAGACAATTGATGTTTCTTCAGCACCAGTGCAAATTACTCTCTTCTGTCACTTCCCAAAGACCACAGCGGGGACTTCTTGTCTTTGGAAGAACAGGGGTAGGAAAGATGTGCAGTGAAGAGGAATCCTCTTGCTGGATGACACACATTCTGAACTTCTGGTCCAGGGTTTCTAGCTTCTGTTTGACACTTAAAACCATGACTAAAAAGTCTAGCGTTGTCAGGCCAATCATGTTCCCAAGTTCACATGTTGGAGCAGAAAGCAGCCTTTCATCCTATCCATGTCCTCTTCAAAGAGACAATCCTTTTGTTTGTAGAATCTGTTTCAAATTCCCTTCGTTTCCTTTGGTGTCCCTCAAGTACATGCAACTCAGAAATTCTGTTTGCATGACACTTGTAATTCCTCACCCTGCCTGACTTAATTGACCATAGGCAGTAGGAGATTTTTGAGAAGAAAAGAGATGGAAACTCTAGCTAGAAAAGTACCCATGGAATAAAGAGACCGAGAGAAGAAAAGTGACAGTGGTTTTGAAAGGTTTTGCAGTGATTTGGTTAAGAAGTGTTGTTGACCTGAGCTACGCAGTGAGAATGGACAGGTGTGAGTAGGTAGAATGTAAGGACAAACAGGATTTATAACTAGATGTGAGGAGTATCAGGCAGAAGGTTCAAATGGGCCTCTGAAGACATGAGTTAGAGAAGTTATGAGGATCATTGAGACCTCAGGGAGGGGTGTAGGGGTGGTGAGGGTGGTTTCCCAGGCTGGCTTCAAACTTCTGGGCCCTGGCAGTCTGGGCTCAGCCTCCCTGGGAGTTGACATTATAGTTATGAACAGCTACTGTTCCTCCAGGACTTGTAAGTCTAAGCAAGAATATATCCAGGAATACAAGAGGAGCTATTACAGGAAAGAGAAGTGTTCAGTTTGAACATGATGTACATTTGAGGTGCTATGGGGAAAGCATGCAGTGATGTTTTGCAGACAGCTGTAGAAGCAACTCCAGAGGTTCCACAGGAAAGTGATGAGTAAGAGATGCAGAAAGATAGAGAAGCAGGCTCACAGAGAGCCAGGAGAGAGAGATGGGAGAAGAACATGGGAAGGATGTCTCAGAAGAGGCAATGGTTCAAGTAGAAGAGTAGACTCTAGAAAGGAGCTGGGCACATCTTCCCTAACTGGACGGAGGGAAGAAGGCTCAGTGCTGGCCAGGTAAGAGTTTGCATGGAGAAGAAAGCAGTATGCCAGGTTCATGTGACGAATTCTCAGCCTGCCTAGAAAGGAGGGTGGTATGTATGGTCTTATACTAAGAACAAGGGCAAAGTATGGTTCTGTGTTTCTTACAAGGGCAGAAAGGTCCTGACAGGGCCTTTGCTAGGATTGAGCAGGATGTAAAGCTTTTCAGAGGCACTGGGAAGATGAGCCAAGGTGATCTCAAGATGATTAACTTTTCATCCTAATAAGAACAAGTCTTCACTTTGTATGTGGAGAATGTGAGCCCAGGAGCCAGTCACTATAGCCAGAGATGTGAAAGCCTGAGGGTCGTCGGAATTGTTTGGAGTCATCAGTGAGCCAGGCTGATGACACAGCACAGACTCTTCTAGGTGCCTGGTGCCCCATTTCCAGTTAATGTAGAACTGACGGTGTGTGACCCTGGAGAACCAGTCTAAGGATCTGTTGTCCACTCCAGCCATTTCCCTCAGACAACTTTAAGGCAGGAAGAAGGAAATGCAAGGAAAATGAGGGTGACAGAAATATAGAAAATATAGAGCTTCCTCCTGGAACTGTGTTCGGTGACATTTCTATTTATAATGGAGGCTGAGAAGTAGTTCTGAGATATGAACACAATTGTGTTATCATGCTGTTTATTGCAAACACTCAGATTTCAATGGAGAAAGTAAATTTCTAGGATCGTAATTTTATAAGAGATCTTAGCAAATGAGATGAAATCCCTCATTTTGAAGGTAAGACTAAGGAGCTTCAGAACATTGTCCAGTAGCATCATCATACCTGAAAAACTGAAAATGCTCCCACTCCTGGTTTAGTGTTCTTTCTAGTGTACTGAACGTGTCTTTGGAACCGGAAGGTGATGGAAAGGGTTGTCAAAGTTGTCTATAATGTCTTCATCCAAGCAGACTGCTCTGACCTCTGCCCTGCTTTTGCCTTTGATTTTTCTTGCTTCTTGCTCATTTTTTAAAACACATGCAAAAGAATTAGATCTTCGTTCTAAAGTATCACAAATCAGTGTAAACATGCTAGCACAGAAGGTGAGTCCTGAAACTAGAACTCACAGAACATGCCAGTTATGAAGCACCAGACGCACGGTTCCCCTTTTTTTAATAAAAAAAAGTTTTCCTTGTCATGTTGGGGATTGAGCACAGGATCCTGTGCATGCTGTGGAAGTGTGCGACCACTGAGCTACTTCCTGAGCCCAGAACATTAGCTTCCCAGAAAAGATAGAACAGCATGCTAGTGGCAAATGCATGTGGCCACACTTACCCTTTTCTGAAAATGAATTTTCAACGTCTGGTGCTGCTGTGGAGAGTGCTGTCTCCAGGCAGCTTTGTTCATCTGAGGCTTTTATAGCACCCAGCACTTCATAACTCTGTGTCTGTAAGAGCTTGTTTAATGTCTGTGCTTGCTGGCCTAATCTGTGTGAGGGAGAAGAGTGTTTTACTACTGTATATCCCACTCGAGGAAACTACTTGACAGATTAAATACATGAAGTTTTGGATGGATGGATGGATGGATGGATGGATGGATGAATGGATGGATGGATGGATGGATGGATCTTAGAAAATTTAATTTCTTTGTTTTTATAAATAATAGCTTATTAGCCTCTCTTCTTTTGGTGTGACAAAAGTAACTCCAGGGAGAAAGGTAATTTTGTCTTGCAGTTCCAGATGATACAGTTCACTGTGGTGGGGAACTGGTAGGGGAGGAAGGCACTGTGGTGGGAGCAGGAAACTGGCTGGTCACATTGCATCTCCATTCAGGAAATAAAGAGTGAACAGGAAGTGGATCTGGGCTGTGAAACCTCAAGGCCCACCCCCAGTGACCTGCTTCCTTCAATGAGGTGCCACTTCAGTAAGGTTTCCACAACTTTTCCAAATAGCACCACCAGCTGGGGACCAAGTGTTTGAATGGAGCCTATGTGGGACATGTCATATTCAAAGCACAGCATGCTCAATCTGATTGCTTCCTCAAGAATCTGAGGGCGACTATAAAAGAATGGCGTATTTTGTGTTTAGTGGCCTTAATTTTATTTAGATTTAATTTTTTGTCATATAAACTTTTCTTCTATAGCACTATTGTGATGTGATGTAAATTACATTTTTTGAAAGAGTAATATATTTCCATGGTGTAAAACTAAATAAAACAATAATCAGGGGAGAAGCCTCTTTTTCTTTTTTTTTTTTTTTAAAAAAACAAAACAAAATGACAACTTTATTTTTATGTGCATTGGTGTTTTTTTCTGTAAGGATGTCAGGTCCCACACAGATGAGAGCTGTCATGTGGGATCTGGGAATTGAACCCAGCCTTCTGGAAGAGCTATCGGTACTCTTAACCACTGAGCCATCTTTCTGGCTGCAAGAAGACTCTTTTTATTCATGGGTTCTCAGTTCTCTCTGTGGGGCTCACCAGTGCTTGCTCCTAGGTTTTTGCTTGTCCTTCTGGAGATGCTCTTGGAAGTCACTGTCAAACAGCTTGCATGTGTGTGGGTACTGAGGAGAGCATGCAGTTGCCTTGTGCTTTCTTCTTTCACGTAAATCGTTCTACACTAGTTAGTTAACAATATTCTCGTTGTGTATGCTCTTTGAAGGTTCTCTTGTGCAGATCAGGTTCCTGCAAGTGTGGCCTTTGAGATATTCCACCCTTTGCCTATTTGCAGCCATCCCTGTAAGCAAAGGATGCTTTTTATATTTTCAACTGGTTGGATGACCATAACTTGTTGGCATATGGAAATGGCATGAAATTCAGTGTATAAATGAGGTTTTATGGGAACACAGTCACTATCCTTTGTTTGCATATTATCTCTACAACTCTACAGTAGTAGAGTTGAACTCTTAACAACAGAACTTCCACTTCCTGTAAAACCAAAATTGCTTATGGTCCAGCTTTTCGTAATTAGTTTGAAGCCTGAAGTCCCTCATGTAGATATGATAGAGTAGATTTAACTAATCTCTTGCTCTTATAGCACAGCGTGGGATAACTTCATATATATACAATGTGGGATTTTTAAAGATTTATTTTTAAATTTGTGTGTGTGAGTGTGTGAAGTATAAGTGTATGCAGATATCTGAGGAGGTCGGAAGAGTCCCTGGAGTTGGAGTTACAAGAGGTTGTGAGCTACCCAACATGAGTGCTGGGAAGCAGGTGGATTCTCTGGAGGACAGCAAGTGTTCCTAGCTGTTGAGCCGTGTTTCCATCCCCATACATGTTCCACATGCATGTGAGCAGAGCTAGAGGACACACTTCTAAACCTACTTAGTATCTAGGCCTTCAGATTCGGCACGGTGCTTTTTCTTCTGCTGCTAAGTCTGTTACATTGCATTCAGAGAAAAGGCAAGAGAAGATGGGGAAAGGTGGATAAAGGTACCTAGGTCCCTCCCCTGGTCCCCTAGAGATAAAGTGGTTTGTGGTACTGACAAAGTCAAGTTCCTGTTTGGGGGATAAAAAAGACTTTGAGTCCTGCCAAGGGGAGAGGGAAGAGGAGGCTGGTGAGTGGTCTTGGAAGATAGGCTATCCTGGGACTGTTGCTGGTGCCAGGCATATGGCTGCTGGATTCCTGAGGTCTACCTGGGTGGGACCCTGCTCATGGTCGGGGGACATTTGTGTCTCACGTGGGAAGAACAGAGGTGGGGTTAACACACACAGGTGGCAGCACTTGACCTTTTAATAAATCAAACCAGAGACCATAAACTTGAGGGAACTTTATTGGGTTTATGCTTTTGTGTTCTGGATAAAATGATGTTATCCTGATGCAGAACAGCTGGGCGTTTGAGTGGACCCAGAGACACTTTCACTCTCTTGGTTTTATCTCTTCACACACCACACTCCCCTTCAGAGAAGAAAAATAGCAAGAAACCAGTACCTTAGTTTTCAGCTTTTACTTTCCCCTCTTCCTTGGAAACAGTGGGCATGGGGGTTCATCGGAAAAGGAAGGCATGAGATAGAGTAGAGACTACCTCTAGTTCTTTCTCTCTTTCCTGGGGTATCCTCAGCAGCACCCCATGAGGCTCCCACCCCACACCCCATCCCAAGTGGAAGTCAAGCCCTCAGCCTCTTCCCAGACCATGCAGGAGTCCCGGGGGAGTCTCATCTGCTTGTTCTTCTCTCTGTCTCTGTCTCTGTCTCTCTGTCTCTCTCTCTGTCTCTGTGTCTCTGTCTCTCTCTCTTTCCTTTTTTTTTTTTTTTGAGACAGGGTTTCTCAGTTAAGACCTAGCTGTCCTAGCACTCGCTCTTGTAGATCAGGCTGGCCTTGAACTCACAGAGATCCGCCTGCCTCTGCCTCCCGAGTGCTGGAACTAAAGGCGATTGGTTGCTTTTTCTTATGACCCAAAGATACTTACAAACAGAATCAAATCTGGTGCACATGCGGACCTCCTTGTACTCATAAGTCATGATGCTTTCTTGCCCTAACCCTCTGCCTAGTTTATGAGGTCTGAAGAATTATTCAAAGGAAGTAACTGTATTTGGAGATACAGTAAAAAGCTCAATTGTCTCTATCTACTGGCAGTCCTTCAGTTAACAAAAATGAGATTTTCCTGAAGGTCATTTTTTGGTAACAGACTAACATTCAGATTTGACCTTATTTTGTTTCCACCCTTATGTAAGAAAGAGGAAATAGTAGGAGATATAATTATGTGAGTCATTTGCTGTCATCTTCCCCTTCCCTCTTCTTTTGCTTCTTCCGCCACATTTCCTTTTTTTTTTTTTTTCTTCCCTTTTTTTGGCTTTTTGAGACAGGGTTTCTCTGTATTGTTTTGGAGGCTGTCCTCGAACTCACCCTGTAGACCAAGCTGACCTCGAACTCACAGAGTGCTGGGTTTAAAGACGTATGTCACCAACCCCTGGCTCCATTTTCCTTTTAAAGGCTACTGTGATAAACATCGGTGATGATCCCCCCCCCCCAACTGGAGATTTGGAAGGTTCTTTGGGTACCTAAGAGATTACTTACTGTTTCAGTTTAAGATAATAAACTCATGCTTCTTCTTCTCTTTGTTTTTTTCTTCCCTTTTTATCTCCCAATATTTCGAGCAGATTCGTACTCAAAGGACCGGGGACCTTGGATAGTAAAACCAGTGGCCTCTTCTAGGGGGCGGGGCGTCTACTTGATCAACAATGTAAGTATGCGGAGAATCACAGACCTGGCACTTACTGGAGCACTGAGTTCAGAAGTGAGTGTGTGTTGTTCACTCTGCTGGGAGCCTCCTCCCTTTCTGGAACACACTTAGTCCATAGCCAAAACCCACTTGCTAGATGGGTTTTGGGGGTAAGGCAGCCTTTTGTATTAGCATGCAAGAGGTGTCTTCTGCTTCAGCATGCTGTCTGTCAGCTCCTCAGCTCTGAGCTGTCACTTACCACACTTTAAGTAGCTTCTTTCTCCTCTTCCTTCCTCCTGCTCCTCTCTTTCACCTCCTCTCCTTCAGAAGCTGCCAGTGCCTTGATTCTTGGCAAATTCCTTATTAAAAGTTCTAAAAATTGATACAGGATGGGAGCATGCCTAGAGGTTAGAGGCATTTTCCAGAATGCAGGAGGCTCTGGGTTCAATCCTCAGTGCCACAACAATAATAATGAATACTAATCAAATACAACAACAACAACAATAAAATGCATATGCAGAGTAAGTAAATAAAGTGCAAATCCAGTCTCACTTGCTGGACTTCCTATAACAAGTTGATTGTGTATGTCTTTTTTCTCAGATTCTTTCTGTATCTGGTATTTCCCCATTTTACAGTTACTACACTCATATCACTCCTGCCTGCCCTTCCATAGTCCATCTCTTAAGTTTAATTAGTTTTGCTTTTAGATCTTAAAGGGTTGTATAACGTTTATAATTATTTTTAATAACTGACATAGTTTCTCCTCCCTATAAGTTTATTAAAAACTTAAGCTTAGTAGAAATAGACTACAGCATTAGGATTGTGAAATTAGTAAGGATTTATACCCAAACATTTCTTTCTTCTCGACATTTGTTGGGCCTGTACTTGGGGAAAATGTATTCTCTTTTTTGTCTTCTTTTTTCTATTTTTCTTCTTTTTTCATGTGACTATTTGTGTGGTGTGTGCATATTGGTATGGTTTTTTGCATGTATGTGTGTGGGTGTGCATGCATGTGTGAGTCCCTGTGTGCTTATGTGGCTGTGTTCCTGTAGAGGCCCAAGGTTGGTTTCTGGCATCTTCTCTGATTGCTCTCCCACCTTATTCCCTGAGGCAGGGTCTGGGATTCCCTGTTCCGCTTTCCAAGACGGGACTTCTTTCCCTGGCACTGCTGCACTCACTGGGCGTGTCCTCCGGTTCTGAGAACCAGAGCTCCTGCCCCCTTCCTTGCACAGCAAGCCATTTATCCACCAAGTCGTCTCCTAGGCCTCTGTCTCCATCTCTTGTTGCCTTTTTGATCCCCTGCTGTGCATGCTACTGCTTGGGGTGTTAGAGAACTCCCATGGCCTCACTAGACCCACGCTGTGGGAATGAATCTGACTGGTTCTCTGGCCCACCCGACTGTTGCTGTCTAACTGCCGGCCTACACCTTTGCAGGGGCCACCTTGGGAATCTTCATTACCTGGTGTTTGTGGCTGGGGCTCTCTCTGCTCTGCTCTGTTTTTATTTTTTCCCCCTCGTGATCTTATCTGCTCCATGTCTTTGAAGATTTACTTAGACTTTTGATCTATTCTGGCTCCTTTCACTTTTTTTTCCTAGCCTTTTGTTATTATTTCATTCTTTTGAAAATATCCTTTCTGTCTTTCCAGTGAGCTCTTGAAGGGAGGTTGGGGTAAATACATCGTGTGTGTGTGTGTGTGTGTGTGTGTGTGTGTGTGTGTGTGTGTGTGTGGTCAGTACTCCATCTTAAATTCCCCAGTTATTTTTTCACATTGAGCTATTTTCTATGTGTGCAGAAATGAACTTTCTGAAGTCTTTCATTTTGGAAAGTCCTCAGGATCAGTCTGGATCCAAAACTGTACAGTAAACAGTTATGGCCAGACCTTTCTCACTGGAGAAATGATAGACTTGAATTCAGGCAGAGCTGCTACTATAGCATCAGGCCCCAGCCACAGGTCCTGTTACCTGGAGCCCCTCAGCCCTGGGTCTTGTGTGACATAAAACATGCTGGTATGCTTTGGCTCTTTCTTGTCTCCATGACCTTGGCATAAGACTCCTATCTGACAGTCCTGCCTTCAGCCCCTCGCCAGGAGTGCAGTGTTGTTTGAATTGCAAGGACGGTGCTATTTGGGTTTGGGTTTTAGCTGCCAAATGGAATTGCTATTGAGAGTCAGCTATGGTTCAAGTTTGCTTTTTATTTTCTTAGACACGAGTCAAAGAGAATAGGATCTAGTCCCAGCTCATCTGGGGCTTTTTTCTTTTGGAATGATCTTTTGCCCTAGTGATTTGTTCTTTTAAAGCTAACATCATAAAGAATAGAAAAGCTACACTTTCCTTAACAGAGCTGGGAACCTCTTGAGGCTCAGGCTCATAAAGGGAATGACTCGTCTTTAGGGAATGCAAGTTTGGCAGCCTATGTAAGAGTCGCTTTCTCCCTCCCACCTCTCCGTGGACTCAGTCCCTTGAGACCCCCTGCGTAGATCAAAGTACTTGGCTAGACCTTTGCCAGCTGCCCCCCCCCCAAAAAAAAACTGGTGAAGCTTTGGAATGAAATGGATTGTTTTAGGTATTTAGTGGAGGTGCCAGACAGAAGCCTGGACAGATGCCAGCCTGCACAGGGGAGCTGGTAACATGTGGATCTAATGGGAACATATTCCCATTTCACCCCGAAACTGGAATTTTATCGCCTTTTACCCAGACCTACAAACTACACTGTTAATCTTCTTCTCTCCTTAACCACCCCTTCTTTTCCATACCTGGACCCTTTCCCTGGAATATGTGACCCATTAGCCAACTGGATGAAGTAACTCTTTCCAAGGCTGCTGCCTGCTTTTCTTTCAGAGTTGAGGGGGAGGGAGAGAGAGCACTGAGGCAAAGAGTCTGTGTAGAACTTAGAGAAGTGGCGGAGGGACTGTGGCAAGGAGCTAGAGATAGATGTTAGGGTCAAATGAAAATGCCCTTCCCTATCTTCCCACTAGCATGAGGAGACCTATCAGTAAAACTTCCCTGTCATTGTCATAACCTATTGGAAATAAAATAAACCATTTTAAAATATAAATATAAAAGCAACCATTTTTACCATAAGTAGAGGAGAAAAAAGAAAAGAGAAAGTGTGGTTTTGTGTAACGCTGACGAGAGCATTGTGAGCTCCTACAGAGGGAAACATCTTAGTGGCTTGACTCTTAATGGTGTGCTCTCATCAGCGGCATAGAGAAACAGCTGTTTATCCCAGCTTCTTCAGTGACCCAAACAAACACCATGCTTCCCCAGCTCAGGATGTTGGAGTTGAGGTGGGGGGGAGAGCTGGTGTTTTCTGACTAAGGTATGAATTTCACCACTGAGTTATCCTTGAGTCTTCTGTTATCTGTGGTCCTATTAACAGACACCCTGAGGTTGGGAAGTACCAAAAGACTTAGGTCCACCCCTCATCTCTGCCCTCCTTGTGCACATAATCCTGTATGTTGTTTTTATTTATTTGCATGTGTTTATCTTATGTGCTCTGTATTTCTTATTGTTTAACAATTATTTAGGAAGTGCTGGTTGTGTGGCAGGTACTATTATTCCTTAAAACCCTTGGAGAGATTCTAATTATTTTCTATTTTCTAATTCTTCTGTGTCTTCATTGTAGTTGAGTATATTGCTCTGGCATGTGGCATGTGGAGGTAAATGCTGTCGAGCTATGGAATTTAGTATTCAGAACTACACAGATACTGTTGAGTTTGCAGTGGTAGTTATAGTAACTGATATTTCTTTCTTGAGAGCTATTTTGAGAGGATGTCACTATGTAGCCCAGACTGACCTAGAACTCACTATGTACTCAGACTGGTCTAGAACTCAGAGAGATTCAAGTACCTCTGCCTTTTGAGGGCTGGGACTAAAGGTATGCACCACCATTGCCAGCACCAACTAGCATTTCTTGAGCATTTACCTAGCACCCTCTATTTGCCTTCCAAATAGAATTTCCTAATAAGATTACTCTTTGTAAGAACCTCATGTGACAGTCACTGTTTTCTTAGTAAGTGGTAGTCAGTGTTGTAGCTTACGTCCCGCTGGTTCCACAGATCCTCTTGACCACCACCATGCTTTTGTAGTCTGTAGTAGTTTTAACAAGTACCACAAGCTTGCATCTTAAGACCAGATAGGAAAATAGGGGTATTTCCAATTTCCACAACAATTCTGATTCCTGGGTTAGCCTGTCTATTTATTTATTTTTTTTTTACTTTGGAAGGAAATTCTACCTTGAAATGGAAATACTTTTCAATTAGTTAACTTAGGATTAGTGGATAAGAAATACACTTAAGGTTGTCAAAAACTTTTATTACTTGGGCTTTAATGTACAGTACTAGGCAGAGGAGCCATTTTCAAATAGCCCTTCAGTCTGTGAGCTTTCCGTTTCCGGGAAGACAACCGAGCAAGTACTAAAGAATCTCAACAGAAGAGGTGATGTCATGCATAGTTCAGTGACAAACTAAACAGAGGAAGTAGGCATGGGCACTAGATATGTCACGGAGTGGAGAGTGGAGAGCCTCCACCAGTGTATTCCCTGTTACAGAGACAGGCAGGTGCCAGTCATGTACCAGTTGTAGTCCATAGGCGTTTCTCAGATGTTGTCTGCCGTTGTGGCTCAGTTATAACTGGTAGGTGCTGCGTGGTGTGATTGGTTAGCCTCATGCCCGGAACACAGCCTGCAGCTTTATTGCTTTTCTATTGATGACGCGTTCTCACTCACCAACTCGAAAATGGAGATGGTACTTGTGATAGACTGATCAAGACGTCGTGTAAGGGCATCAGGAAGTGGGATGGGTAATAGAGTTCATTTGGGATTGTGTTCATTTGATACACAGAGATGGGTTGTAAAAGCTGCGGTCTGCTTTGAGATAAAAGCAGGAGTAGTTGGGCTAGGAATTGCCTTGTTACAGACATTTAGATTTGGGGAGTTATTTTGTGTCCGAATTTGGGGAGCACAATGAACAGTACTTGAAAGTGAATCTTCCACAACGCTGCCCAGTGCCTGTGCTGCACTAATGCGTGTAGCCGTGTGACAGAGCAGGTCCTGCCGCTGATTGCCCTTCATCTGTAGGATGTGTGTGGTGGTATACCTGCCCTGGAGTTGGGTGGGGCTGAAATACTACTCAGGACATGCTAAGAAGTGCTCTTGGCACATGGTAAATGCTCAGTACCTCTGTTAAATTATACTTACTTCTGCAAATGTTGCTCGTTATTCCCAAGCAGCTACTATAGTTAATCTCATAATTGCTATTGTTGCCATTTACAGTTTGGAGCACCTTGCCCATCTGCACTGACTTGCAGTTGATCTTTCTGTCTTAATCTAGCACTACACGCAATTGTTCTGTTTGGGATGTATCTTACTGCTTCCTCCATGTGGAGTCTGCAATAGCTTCCTGCTTCCCACCATATGAAATCTCAACTCCCCTTGCCAGCTCAAATCCCTGTGCCAAAAGGCGCCCTCCCTTCCATTCTCCCCACCCCTTCCAGCCACTTCCCAGTTACAGCTTTTAGCCCCAGGCCTATGAATCTGCTGGATTCGCAAGTGACAGTGGCCTCCTTTTCTACCTTGCACATGCCCTAGACTTTCACTGCTCACTCCTGTGTCTGCTCTTCTGCTGGCCAGAGTTGGTCTTCCTGTCACAGCCCTGCAGACTGGCCCTTTGGCAGTTTGACATCTTGTATTTGTGAAGCTGCTTCTTTGTGTCCCTTTAGAGTCTCCATCTTGCTATTCTAACCTGAACCGTAAGCCCTTTAGGGGAAAGGAGCGGCTGACTTTGAAGTTCTGTGAGGGGACAGTTGTTTCTGTTTTCTTCATTACTGAGTACCCAGTCTTTACACATAGGTGGCAGTACCCACAGTTTCTTACATAAGAAAATTTTCCCTATTGGCGAGATCTTTAAACAATGTAATTCGATCTTTGCACACAGTTGCTTAGCAAGTGACTTAAGTGAATCAAGCATTCACTGCATCTCACTGGGGATGCCATGCTCTGTGACGTCCAGAACAATTTAATGAGAGGTGCACTGGGGACAGTGTAGTGTTTTAAAACTTCCATTTGTCTTTATGTTCTAAAAGAAGCAACTTTTAATTTTTAAGTAGATCTTATATTCTTGTCAAATAACTATTTTATACCATGCACATGAATCTTTAAAGCTACTTAGCTGCATTTGTTATGAGAGGTGCTGTGTAAATGGGTACCCACGGTGGTATGTCACGGGGCCAACTGAATAGTATTGGTTTTTCCATAGTGTCATTTCTTAAAAGGTTAAGCAATTTGCCCCTTCACTATACATTTTAGGATTTCTGTTTTTTCATTCCTTTCTGTTTACTCAACAGCCAAACCAGATTTCCCTGGAAGAGAACATCTTGGTCTCCCGTTACATTAACAACCCCCTGCTCATAGATGGTGAGTTGTGATTGATTCTTGACTAGATTGGGCTGGCTCTTGCTCAACTTTGTAACCTCTTCATAGTCTTCTCTAGGAAATCTGTTAAAGCTATTCTGACATTTTTGGTACACATTGTTCCAGAGATGAGGATGGTTCCTTACCATCCTTTTGAAACTGAAATTAGGTGATACAGGAGAGGTACCTCTCACGTGTGAACACTTACATACACATGCATGCACGTGCGCATGTGGTGTCCATGGAGGGCAAGCCACACATGGCAAAGAATTGTTTTTCCACAGAGCCATATAAACAAGTAACAATAGCCAGTTGTAGTGAATAATCTGAAGTAAACTCACTCCTATCTGGGAGTTGCAAGAAAGCATAATCTAAGAACATTTCCATGTTTTTGAAGAAACAGAGGTCACAAGACTCTTGTCTCGGTTTCTGGGAGTTTTCTCACAAGCACTCAGAAATCTCCTTATAGTATTTCATTCTTGGACTATGTTCTCACATTGTACTGTGTGTATTGAGCAACTATCCTGCATGTCACAGCGTGAGCAGTTCTCTAGCCTCGAAATACAAGCTGTGTATATTGTATGCTTTATGTGAAGAGGTTGCCATCCTTCCGGAGCCCTTGACCGTGTGCCCTGTTCATCGCAACAGAAAACAGACAAACTCCCGTTTTCTTGTGACTCCCAACTGTCTTTCTTCCTAGATTTCAAGTTTGACGTGCGCCTCTATGTGCTCGTGACTTCCTATGATCCCCTTGTCATCTATCTCTATGAGGAAGGATTGGCTAGGTAAGAGACTGTCTTAGGTGGAGGGATTGACTGGGTATAGTAGAGTGGAGCCACTGAAAAGGTTTCGAAGACCAAGCTGCTGCTTTCTGTTAGGTTCAACTCAGGCAAATAGAGTGTACCCAGGCGGGCTTCAAAAGAAGGAAGCAGTCTTGGTACTCTACAGCTTTGCTTATAGGGCTACACAGAATGTGGGAGCACACACCTGTCTTCATGTGTAGAGGACAGGGTAATTTCATTCTGTGAGGGTTGTTCTGAGGGCCCTAGGGTATTAAAATTTGTAACGCTTTTCAGAGTAGATTTCGAAGGGAAAAAAATAAAAGTCACATTTAATTTACTTGTCATACACCAGGTCCTTATGTTAATCCCCCAACAGCAATACTGCCACTGCTGTTTTGCAGCAGAAGAAACAGCTTTGCAGGGGGCAGCAGTGACTTTCTGAGCTCCCCTGATGGGGATTGGAGCTCACTGAATAGTCATGCTTTCTCATATTTATGGGATAGTCACGACTTTCTCCCCTTAATGTACAAGTTATATACTTTGCAGTGGTTGGGAATACAGGTTTTTTGGCTTGCTTAATAGGTTTTAAGGTAGTGCCTGTCAACAGAGTTAAGTTATAAATTTATAGTAATTTGGTGTGTTGTCTCCCAAACCCACAAAAACTACTTACAGGGAACAATTTCTGTAAGTCCTTTAAGCTATTTAAAAAAGCATGTAACTTTACTGTGTGTTGCTTTCTCTTACTTTTTTTTGTAGTCGTTAGTTCTTCTGTGGCATGGCCTTGATGGGATAGTGGGTAGCAGTCTGCATCTGTGGGCAGACATAATAAACTGCACAGTCAGTCTGCATGTTTCTGGTGTTAGAAAATTCGTTTTGAAAATAGAGACTACACTAAGAAAATAAGGATAACTAATTGTGTTTATGAAAAAACAGGATGAATCCCTGTCCTCCCAGAACTCTCCAGTACCTGTCTATGGCTTTAACAGACTTGATTGTTCTGTGAAACTGAGTTTTCTGTTTCCAATTTGTCTTCCTGACTGAGACATGTCTTCCCTTCACCTCTAGGTGGCAATGACAGCTTTTGTAAGTTCTGTCATATTTTTAACTAAGATTTATGAGTTGGAGCCTTAGGAGCACTGGAGGCTACTGATATTCCATCGTCCTGCCCTTTTGTCCCTTGAAAACTGAGAAGGAGAAAAATAAAATGTTTCCCAGTTGAATAAAGGCCTGGACCAGACATTGCACGTGAACTATGAGCTGTAATTGGGTTGTCATAAGGAAGACATTTTCTATAGCATTTATGGGTATGAGCTCCTGTACTTTGAAGTATACATAGAAAGAACAATATAAATATCAAAGCCTAGTTTCCATATCGTTTAGAACAAAGAGAAGGTAAAATACTCGTGCTTCTTGTGAGGATAGGGTGTGGTGGAGTGTGGTTTCATATCTGAGCCTTCCCTCTCTTGTGCAGTGAGCCTCTCCTTTATCTTTCCTGCATCTGTCCTCACCCCAGCTCCTATCCTTGGTCCTGCTTAGTCTTCTGGGAGAGAGAAGGCATTTATGCACACTGTTTATCAAGGGTGTCATACCAATATATTTTGTATCATATCCTGACGATGATGTTTCACCCACAGTATTTGTAGCCCTCACCATGAGTAAAACTTTACATAGTTTTTGGTTCTTTATGGTTCTGAGAATAAAATGAGGGCAATACTAGCATTTGTTACAGTTTGCTGCACATGCGTAAATAACTCTGGTTAGATGTCAGAGCTACTGAATTAGTGACAGTTGCTGTTTCCAGCAGGAACTGGCATGTAATTAATGTGCATAATACACACATTTATATGGCCAGTGGACACTTTTCCTCACTGTCAGCAAAATAAATAGCTTTTTAAATATTCATACCATTGAATCAAAAAAGGAAAAGAAAAAAATTCAGATCTTTGGGTTTACCTGAAACCTAGGTGGATGTGAAATCCTTATCACAGTAGGCATATCCGTGCATTATCTCGAGCTGTTTGCCCAGACATATGAGACACCGTTGTGTGCAGGTTCTGCAGTGTGCCTGTGTAGTCACTGTTTATCTTGGCATGCACTTGCCTTACAGTCCTCAGAGTGCGTTCAGCTGTGTCATTATGTTCAGCATCTGTCTACAGCTCCTCCGCACCTGCAGCTCCTGCTAATCTTGGGTCACATGTGTTTTGTGTAGACATAACTGAAGGTAATCAGTTTGGGATGAGATCACCAGGCTGCTTTACTTGGAGACGAGAAGGAAAACCATAATCATTCCTAAAGAGACAGACCTGGAGGCAAAAATAATTAGTTTCCTTCTTTAGGCTTTTATACCCTGTCATTTTTGTTGGGAGTTTCAAATTAATGCTAGGAGACTGAAAGTTCACTTTGTAGAGTTCATTGCATTGTGATTTTTGTGTAAATTCCCTTCTCTTTGAAACCTTTTCATTTGTCTTTGTTTTAGTCACACAAAAAGCAGACTGCTCACTGTTTATTTTGTGTGTAGGAGTGTTTGCCTGCATATATATAAGTTCAGTGCATGCAGAGGTAGAGGAGGGCATTGGGTTCTCTTGAACTTGGAGATGGTTTGAGCTGTCATGTGGGTGCTGGGAACTGAACCCAGATCCTTTGCAAATGCAACAGGTGCTGTTTACCACTGAGCCATCTTTCCAGCTCCTTCTCACTGTTTCTTTTATGTAGGTAAAGTCTTGAAGAGATATGAAAATGAAATTGCCTATTTTGCATTGAGTCAGCTGTCTCGTGATCCTGGTGGTCATGCTTCTAATCTGTGTGCTGTAGGATTCCCCTTGCTGCAGGTTCCTGCTGTAGGATACTCTTGCTGCAGGCTCCTACTCTAGGATCCCCACGCGGCAGGCTCCTGCTGTGGGTTCCCTGTTCAGGCTCCTGCTGTAGGATCCTTGTGTAAGATGCTGTTTTGGACTAGTAAAAAGGAGACATTGTGTTTCTAGAGAGAGGGATGTTGTTCTCACCAAAATGGTGGAGATACACTTTTATATTAGAAGTAGAATCTAAAAAGGCTTTGTTCTGGATTTACAACTCTAGAAGGATCCAATCTGGGATATAAATGATTTAAGACAGTCCTTTTTGAGACAAAGCTAGTAGCCAAATTTGCACTGAAACAGGATTTTTTTCTTTAAATAAAATGACGTTGAGTTGAAAACCATATGTGTTGTGAGTGACTCAAAGATAGCAGAGCTCATGAAAGTGTCCATGGCAGCTCTGCGGTGGCACGGGTCATGGAGAAGAGCGAGGACTGCAAAGGCCTCTTGCAATGCTGCCCTGCTGCAGCTTTGCTGTCCCCCTCCCCTGCCACTGCCCAGTGGAAATGCAGAAAAGACCCCAGGTCACTTCTGATGCCTTTCTTCCCTCCCCCACCCCCAGGCCCTTCAGTAGCTTTGCTTGCTAATTAACACTGGCTCCAGGGGGGGGGGGGGATATTTACCTTTTCTGTGCTGAATTCCTGTGGTTTTGAAAGAATTCAGGTACTTGGCGATTGCCAAGGAATTCAGATTACCTCACAGGCTGCACACTGTCCAGAATCTGCCACAGCAGCAAATTGGGGGAAGAGACACCCGCAACGGGGAGAAGCCTTTCCTAGCCTCACTGTCACTCTCCCTGGCAGGCCCTTGCTGTTTGTGAAGTTTGAGTCATTTCTGGCTCTGAGGACAGGATCAGGCTGGTAATCCCCTCCCAGACTCTCTGCAGGGCGCTGCCCAGTCACTGCAGCCTTTTGGCAGCTTCCCTGCTGCAGCTGGTCGACAGTAGATCAGAGCACTCTTGGGCCTCTTGTTCTCTTCCATAAGATTTTTCTAGGTCAGGCTAGGATGAAACCAGTGGCTTCTGGCAAGGGTGCCTGAGGTGAAGTTTCATTGCCCAGGCCTCTCTGCTCAGGACAGCTATATCTGCTAAAGATAACTCCTGTGCCACTATTACAATCTCCTTTCTTTGTGCTTTTGTTCTGAATGTAGAAAATGTATCTACCAAATTGAGTATTTAACTCTTCTACATCTGGGCTCCATGACTGTGACCATAAGAATATATGCTGTCAGGTTCTTAGAGCCATATACAGTTTTTACAGGGGAGGAGCATATGTAAGGTCTCACTGAGGGTTTTTTTTTGTTTGTTTGTTTGCTTGTTTTGTTTTGTGTGTATGTTGTGCTGGCTTCCATACTGGTAAAGGTTTTGAAACAAACAACTTAGGTACACTTTCTAGTGATGTTTATAAGTACCCACCACAGTTACCATTGAGTTATGTTCCAACATAGCCATAATCAGTTTGTTGCCATTTACAAATCTTGATAGACCCTCCCTCCCAATTCTTCAATACCCCACCCCCATCAGTTAAAGAATTAAAAGACAGGAAAAACAAGAAAACGCCTCATATACCAGTACAACAAGTAGCAGCAGGGGAAATGTCAGATACAACTCCCAGAGTCAGCCTGTGAAGAAAGGCCTTTATTAGGGGCGAGGCAACACATACAGCAAGACACATGCCCAGAAAGACCCTGCAGAGCCCAACAGAGATTTTTAAGCCAAAACCTGGTCTTTCCTCAGCGGCTGGGGGCGTTTAGGGTCTTTGGGGTTGTTCCTCCCTGAATTTGGGGTTGGTCAGTTTGAACAAAAATAGGGAGGCTGATAGGCCCACAATTTGGTGTAAATATGTCCTGATCTTGCCTTGAACTCCAGGATCTTGAACTGAAACTCGTCCACAGCCTACTGGGTTCTAGTGGCAGAGGGAAAGGCTTCAGGAAGAAGCTAGAAGTTTGCTATCTTTGTTTCCTAGTCGTGGCCTGTCTTCCTGTCTGTCTACCTGTCAAGTGTATCTAACTCTAGTCCCTCAAGTTGAAAATAGCATCAATTAGAAATGTATTTTTAAAGATTATATTGTTTTTATCTTATGTGCAAGTGCACTACATATGTGCAGTGCTGAAGGAGGCCAGAAGAAAGATTCTGGGGTTAGACGTGGTTGT